TGCCATATTGTGGAATGTCAGGAAAGTTCCAAGTACACTGTAGTGAAAGGTTTATCTTTCTTATTAGGCTAAAAATTAAATGCTTAAAAATCGTTGAATGCTAACTTCGAAGCAGTATTCAATCTGTGATCATCATTTGCGCTTTGACAAAACGGTCATGAACCAAAAGAACGATGATTCGATAAAATCGAGCGAAGGAACTTCCAGTATATAAAAGAGAAACAAAGTCCATATTTGTCCTGGCCCACACTGTGGACGGTAGATTATTTAAACTGTCTAATAGATCTCAAGAAAACCAGAGCAAATTTCTCATTAATCATTCTTGTATTATTCATGAATAAGAAATAAAATAGAGTGATCCTAAGGGTCTTCATTGCAAATACATTTTGACAGTCGGTAAAAATAATCAAAAAACAGCTGACACAATCCCTCTTCGTGTCATTGGTTTCTGGTTCGCTAGCTGCAATATATTCTCTAAGACCTCCCTTGCAAACTTGTCTTCCTCTGTATTCCACTTGAGGCCACAAGCACTCTCTGTAGGAAGTTATTCAAGCTCTAGATTAGCTAAAGATTTGGCTCTTTCAGACTCTGGGATTGCAGCCAGCACTTCTGTATCATTACTTCACCACTTTTTTATGCGAAAACCGTCTTTCTCAAACAACCTGCGCAGTTGGCTTACCCAACTTACTGCTCTCTCTCTGGCACTTGCCAACTTCATCATGACATCCACATATATGTTGCGCTTCATTGTCGCTTCTACTTTTGCATCAAACCCCTCCTGATTCAACTGTGCTGTCTTCCTAAGACAGCAATTAGGAACGCTTGGTGAAGATATAGCACCAAATAGATGTTTCACCATTCGATACTCTTCTGTTTTCTTTGTTAGGTCCCCATTCGGCCACCATAAAAATACTTTTAGAGTTAAAAAGTGTCACAATCTTTTGGGTCCACCAGGAATTAGTGAAACATTGCTTCTATATTAGCAACTACTAACGATGTTTGTCCCAACTTTGTTGCACAATGACGAACCACCCTCACCTTGCCAGGCTTCAAGGGATGCGTTACTGTGTGGTGAGGGAGCTACCACACTGGTTTATTCTTTGTGTTTAACTCTTATTCAGAAACTCTTTCTGGTCAGATGACTGATTTTTTATCACGAGTATGATTACAGACTGAATTGGACGAAACAAAGTCTTATTAACGATTAATCATACAAATTACAATTTCTGAGAAAAGAAGAATAGCCAGGTTACGAAGGAAAAGAAAAACATTTGCATTAAAACACTGAAAAAGGAAGCGTAAATTGTTTAATTGTTTGGTTGGTTGATTTAAACTACAACTTTGAATGCGTTTGACTTATTGAACTGCTCGTTAACAAACTTTTTGGATAACCAATTTGTCCGATAACAATTGGGCAAGTGAATAAGTGGAAAATGGAAGATTTTAAGCTAATCATAATCGAGAAAATTGTAATTTTTACCATTGATAATGGTAATAGGGCCAAGTGGAATCCAATTTGATATGCAATCATATTATTACAGAAAAATATGTAATATGATTACAGAAAAAATTGGAGGATACGAAGTCCTGTTACCAATAAATCATAACCTTTACAATTTCCGAAAATAAAAAAAAAACCTTTAGGAAAAACACCTCCGGTAGAGACAATGTGTAAAATGAAAAAAATACCCCGTTTTTGGAAATTCCCTCACCTTTTTTTCGGGGTGAGTGATTGTTTGCTATAGTTATGGTTGATTATGGTTGTTGATTGGTAGATTTAGCTGAGTGGAGTTCGGTTGATTGGCTGCTTCAACTGCCCGAGTACAGGTGTCTAATTGCAACCAACTGCCCGATTACACCGTCCGATTACAACTGTACAGAATGATCAGTGAAAAAATAAAGCAGCTAATGCACCAGTCACACTTGAGGAAATTGTGATGGTTATGATTAATAATATAATCAGTCGTGTCGTGGATCACCACACTTACTTTTTAGTTTAAAGAAACCCAAAATGTATCCTTGCCATTAAATTGGTCACAATGCGCTATTACGCCATACAATAAACCCACATTAAATATCTGAAGATTTTCTCCGCGCTTTTCGTTCTATTTCTGACAAACTCACGGTTAAATGCCACCATAAATTAGATAAGAGAAGAATTGCAATTTTTATTAGTTCCTTCACGTCATCGGACAAACTGTTTAAGTGTTATTTTAATATAGACTGAGTGCTAACAAAAAAGGTTAGGTTTTTTTTAAAAGATGATAAACGAAGAGAATCATATTAAATGGTTTTAATATCTTAGCATGCCCTCACGATGTTTAAAAAGTTTTTGTCTTAGTCCATTAATTAAAAAAGGTCACTGTAAGGGTTGGCCGGCTCACCGAACAGTTTGGAACGTTGGGAAAATTCCCGACTGTCATTATTTTTTGCCGTTTCACTTTCAAAGTAATACTCAAGAGGGGATACCCAAAACAGAAGTGATGTGGATACGGAAGACATGGGGATTCCCAAAACACAGTGACAGCCCAAGTTTCGGAATGTTGGAAAAGTCAAATGTTTTGTTGTTTCAAAGGATCAGCTATAAAGTCAACACGTTAGAAACTACGATTAAATATCGTTTTTAGGTACTCGGGTTTTATCACTTATAATTATTTAGTCACTCTAAAGAAGTGAGGCTCTCATGGGAAAGCCTAATCAATGCTTTTCCGATTTTTATGTTTGCGTGTCACATTGTGAAGAATCGAGACTGCAGAAACTAAGGGTTTTGACAATTCCACGATTAATTTTTTTGAAAAAGGAAATCTACTTAATCCACTGTTGATATCATAGAATAATCGCGGTGTAAGAGTGCGCTGTTCTCTAGTGGTCGTAACTCACATAAGTAATTAACTTCACCTCGTTTACTTTTTGTTAAAGAGCCAAAATCTTGCGTAAGAAGATAAGTCAGCCTATGACGCTGAAAGCTCACGGAGAAAGATGAGGTATTTTCTGTGAGGAACAGAAAGTTACTTGAATTATCTAATATAATCTTGTCATAGTGTAATTGATCAGTAAGCTTACTTTTCAGATGGATGTAGGCTTCGAACCTCTACCATTAACTTGTTTCGATTCCTTTGTTAGGCTATACAATAAACCCAAACAACTTTGGTTAAAAATATGGAGATTTTCCTGGTGCTATTTAAGTAACTCATGGTTTATCCCTGCATAAAAGTGAGAAAAAGAGGATTACAATCTGTTTACTTCCGTCACGTTATCAGACAAACTTTGTAAATTAGATAACTGCCAAAATTTTTAACCAAAACATTCGTCGATATTTTAAAAGATCAAAAACGTGCAAAATCGTATTGTGTGGTTCTAACATCAGTCAAAATGTTTTGAAAGTTTTTGATGTCTTCCGTGTAACAAAACACGTAAAAATCATGGCATGGGTTTGCCTCATTACTGAGGGAAGATTAGGAATGTAGGAAGAAATGCCGACTGATTTTCACTTTTTTCTTGTCGTTTCCCTTTCAAAAGTATCAGCTACGAGGTCAAAAATATTATAAGTCTATTGTTTTTTAGAGTAACTTGGTGGTAACTTTAGCTTTAACTATAGTCCTTTCCTGTCCTGTGGCTATTAAGTCATGTTACGTTGTGCAAAAATCGCCACCAGATGACAAGTATTCATCACAAAGCGGGACTTCGTCAAACCTCTGCGGCCTCACATCTTGTTCATCATTCTAATCAGCTAAGGATAGACTTGTTTTCAGTGACATTCATCTGACAAGTAAGCTCGTTAGGTTATTGTCTGCTACAACAATATTTTAAATGTTGCATGCCATATTGCAGAAGGTCAGCAAATCTTCCAGACGGTTGTGGCAGAGAGTTATCTTTCTTGTTAGCCTGAAAATTGAAACACTTAAAACTCGTATGCATGTCGCTTGATACCAAGAGACTTCATTGTAAACACGTTCTTTACGGCTGGTAGAAATGCAGATGGATTATAGTGATATTGTAGACCACTCTTTGCTGGTTTGTTGGCGGAATACTGGCAATACAACATCATTGATTCCTCAAGATTATCAAACGGTCCAATGAAGGGCTAACGCTCGAGACGTCAGCTTCAGAAACTTATTACAATGGCCAAATTACATTTTCGAATTAGTTGATAAAGCCATTTTATTTTAATTGACGTTGTTTATAGAAACTGCATGAAGAACTTTGAAGTTCTCATAGAAAAAGTTGAGATAATTGCTGTTTTGTTTATCTTTTTCATGTGAATTTTAAATCATGTCATGTTGTGCAAAAAATCACAACTTAAGTAAAATGAAAGGTGACAAACCGAGTTTGTCAAACCATTGGCACCTCAAATCTTGGCAATCATCCTTATCAGTTACGAATAGATTCGTTTTCACCCGTATACTTCAGATAAATAAACTCATTACTTGGTGATAAACTGCTAGAACAACATTTTTAAATGTTCCCGGAACGTTGTAGTAAAAGGTTTATCGATCCTTCCTGTTTTTTTTTTAAGAAACCCGCGACCTTTCAAAAACCCCCTAATTGATGGCACGACCCTCCGACAGACGACCATCAGTCAAACTCAACGGAGATTCATTTTTTTTTTTACTTGATAGGATTAACAAAACAAAACAGCTAGATCAAAAATCACTTGAATAACAGTTGACTTTGACAGCATGACAGTCGAAGAGTCCGTTTTAAAAAAAAACTGTGCAGGTCAAATTAAATTTAGAATTTCACCGAATGTGATCCGTGAATGTCCTCCAGTTGTACTTATCCATGCCTCTTCGTCACTTATTTTTTTCTTTTAAGTCTATATTTTGACTTCTAACACTTTTAGCTCGTTACAAAGGTTTCTAGGTGTAATCAACTCAGCCCGTTTTTGTAACTTCGCATATGGGTTCCCTTCTGTAGTGAATCATTACAAATCCAGACTATCGAATCATCTGGTTAATTTGTGTCACTAAAAAGAAATGTTTGCCTAAAAACAGGAGAGGATGCCAATGAACCTTAAAGCAAAAGACATGATAGCTTCCATGAACATCGCCAAACAAGTTGCCCTTTTCCTGCTCAACTCAGATCGTATTCAGAAAGCCATTGAGATATTCAACGAATGTTTGATTTTGCTAAACAACACTAATCAAAACAGCAAAGACCAAATAGAAAAGACCTATTCCGTTCTTTTCAGCGCTTATCGACGTAGCTCTGACTACCTCAATGCGGAAAGATACGGAAGGAAACTGCTTGTCTTATACAGCGAGTCTAGTGACTTAGTAAAAGAGGGAGATGTAAGCATGGTTCTTGCAGAGATTTTTGAGAGTCAAAACAGGTTTACAGATGCCAAAGAACTTTACGAAAAAGCAGTTAATATAAGGAGGAAAACTGGTGAAAAAATTGGAGAAGCAAGTACCTGCGCAAGATTCGGAACTATGTATCATAAACTTGGTGAAAACCTAAAAGCGAAGGAGTATGTTGAGAGAGCCCTTGCCATAAGAAAAGAAATTAACGACAGAAGAGGAGAGGCATCATGTTATGAGGACCTAGGTAATGTGTTTCGGTCTCTCAGGCAATACGAGAAAGCTAAAGAGTTTCTCGAAAAAGCGCTTGACGTCAAATCAAAAATTGGCGACAGAAGAGAAGAAGCATCATGTTATGAAAGCCTAGGTGATGTGTTTCTGTCTCTTGGGCAATACGGTCAGGCTAAACAGTATCTCCAGAAAGCGCTTGTCATGATATCAGAAATTGGCGACCAAAGAAGAGAAGCATCATGCTATAAAAACCTAGGTAGTGTGTTTAGATCTCTCGGGCAATACGACAAGGCTAAAAAGGATCTCCAAAAAGCGCTTGACATCAGCACTAAAATTGACGACAGAGGAGGAGAGGCGGCTAGCTACGGAGACCTAGGTACTGTGTTTTATTCGCTCGGGCAATACGACAAGGCTGAGTATTATCTCCAAAAAGCGCTTGACATCAGCACTGAAATTGGCGACAGAGGAGGAGAGGCGGCTAGCTACGGAAACCTAGGTACTGTGTTTCATTCGCTCGGGCAATACGACAAGGCTAAGGAGTATCTCCAAAAAGCGCTTGACATTACAACTGAAATTGGCGACAGAGAAGGAGCGGCAAATGACTACGGAAGCCTAGGTACTGTGTTTCATTCGCTCGGGCAATACGACAAGGCTGAGGAGTATCTCCAAAAAGCGCTTGACATTAGAACTGTTATTGGCGACAGAGGAGGAGAGGCGGCTAACTACAGAAACCTAGGTACTGTGTTTATGTCCCTCGGACAATATCACAAAGCTGAAGAGTATCTTCAAAAAGCGTTAGTAATCAGCACTGAAATTGGCGACAGGAAAGGAGAAGCATCAAGTTATGGAAACCTAGGTAATGTGTTTAAGTATCTCGGGGACTACAAGGAGGCCAAAAAGTACCTCCAAAAAGGGTTTCTCATCAGTATTGAAATTGGTGACAGAAATGGAGAGGCATCTGACCAAAGAAACCTAGGTACTGTTCATCAGTTGCTCGGAAAGTATTACACAGCTAACAGGTATCTTGAAAAAGCACTTTCCATCAAATCAAAAATTGGTGACAAAGAAGGAGAAGCATCATGTTACGGAAACCTAGGTACTGTGTTTCATTCACTCGGGCAATACGACAAGGCTAAGGAGTATCTCCAAAAAGCACTTGACATTAGAATTGAAATTGGCGACAGAAGAGGAGAGGCAGCTAGCTATGGAAACCTAGGTACTGTGTTTCATTCGCTCGGGCAATACGACAAGACCAAAGAGTATCTCCAAAAAGCGCTTGACATCAGAACTTTGACAAAGGAGAGGCACTTTCCATCAAATCAAAAATTGGTGACAAAAAAGGAGAAGCATCATGTTACGGAAACCTAGGTACTGTGTTTCATTCACTCGGGCAATACGACAAGGCTAAGGAGTATCTCCAAAAAGCGCTTGACATTAGAATTGAAATTGGCGACAGAAGAGGAGAGGCAGCTAGCTATGGAAACCTAGGTACTGTGTTTCATTCGCTCGGGCAATACGACAAGACCAAGGAGTATCTCCGAACAGCGTTTTTGATTAGAATTGAAATTGGCGACAGAGGTGGAGAGGCGGCTAGCTACAGAAACCTAGGTACTGTGTTTCATTCGCTCGGGCAATACACCAGGGCTAAGGAGTATCTCCAAAAAGCGCTTGACATTACAACTGAAATTGGCGACAAAGGAGGAGAGGCGGCTAGCTACGGAGACCTAGGTACTGTGTTTCATTCACTCGGGCAATACGACAAGGCTGAGGAGTATCTCCAAAAAGCGCTTGACATCAGAACTGAAATTGGCGACAAAGGAGGAGAGGCGGCTAGCTACGGAGACCTAGGTACTGTGTTTCATTCGCTCGGGCAATACGCCAGGGCTGAGGATTATCTCCAGAAAGCACTTGTTATTAGAACTGAAATTGGCAACAAAGGAGGAGAGGCAGCTAGCTATGGAGACCTAGGTACTGTGTTTCATTCGCTCGGGCAATACGACAAGGCTGAGGATTTTCTCCAAAAAGCACTTGACATTAGAACTGAAATTGGCGACAAAGGAGGAGAGGCGGCTAGCTACAGAGACCTAGGTACTGTGTTTCATTCGTTCGGGCGATACGCCAGGGCTGAGGAGTATCTCCAAAAAGCACTTGACATCAGCACTGAAATTGGCGACAGAGGAGGAGAGGCGGCTAGCCGCGGAAACCTAGGTACTGTGTTTCATTCGCTCGGGCAATATGACAAGGCTGAGGAGTATCTCCAAAAAGCGCTTTATATTAGAACCGAAATTGGCGACAAAGGAGGAGAGGCGGCTAGTTACGGAAACCTAGGTACTGTGTTTCATTCGCTCGGGCAATACGACAAGGCTGAGAAGTATCTCCAAAAAGCGCTTCTCATTAAAACTGAAATTGGCGACAGAGGAGGAGAGGCGGCTAGCTACGGAAACCTAGGTACTGTGTTTCATTCGCTCGGGCAATACGACAAGGCTAAGGAGTATCTTCAAAAAGCGCTGGTTATCAGAACTGACATTGGCGATAAGGAAGGGGAAGCAGCAGACCTTAAAAACCTTGGAATTGTGTCTAGAACTATTGGAGATTATGAATCTTCGGAAGTATGCCTGGAGAGAGCTTTATCCATATCCAGAGGTATTGGACATAGAAGAAGAGCGTTCCAAATTCTTCTAGAGTACGCCATTTTGTATTTATTTCAGAAGAAAATCAAAGACTCCGTTTCGTGTCTTCATCTGTGCATTGAAAAGTATGAGGAGCTGAGACACTTCTTGGGCGCCAATGATGAGTTCAAAACATCATTTCTGGAGGACTCAGGAATATTTCCCTACAAGCTGCTAAGTAGTTCGCTTTGTGACACCGGAAATGTTCGGGATGCTCTTTATGTTGAGGAGTTGGGTCGAGCTAGAGGCCTATCAGACTTGATGGTAGAGAAGTACTCTGTTGAAACGCACATCTCTGCTGATCCAAAATCTTGGTTTGGCATTGAAAACATTTTTAGAAAGAAAAGTAACTGTACTTGTCTGTACATTTCTTATTTTCAAAATCATCTGCATTTGTGGGTCTTGAAAAGAAGTGGAGTCCCTCACTATAGAAGAATATCAGTAGAAGAGAATCTAGTTCGGGCTGGGTTGCCCAAAGATTCGCCTTTGAGTAAATTTTTGGCTGATGATTTCCGGAGTCTTGGTACTTTGCCCATTGGAGATTGTGAAGATGACTCAGCAGGATTGCGATCTTTAGAGGGGGACGAGGACGAGGACGAGGACAAGTACGAGGACAAGTACGACGGAGTCATTTCAAGTCTATCTTTGTGCTACAAAATGTTTATCGCCCCCGTTTATGATTTGCTTGTGGAGCCTGAAGTCATTATTGTTCCTGACCGCAATTTGTACAAAGTTCCCTTCGCTGCCCTCAGTGAAAAGATGGGAGCCGAATACCTGTCGGAGACTCATAGGATCCGTATCATTCCTTCTTTGACGACACTCAGGATTATTCAAGATAGTCCAGAGGACTATCACAGCAACACTGGTGCCTTGATAATAGGAAATCCCAAGGTTGATTGGCTGCAGCCATTGCCAGGTGCAAGAAAGGAAGCGGAGATGGTCGGACGACTGGTGGGCGTTCCGCCTCTGGTAGAAGAGAAAGCAACGAAGCAGGCGGTACTTGAGCGGATAAGTTCAGTGAGCCTGATACATTTTGCTGCCCACGGTAGCGCCGAAAGGGGAGAAATTGCCCTTTCCCCCATTCCTACTCTTAACAGTCGAAGCGATTTCACACCACGGGAAGCCTACATGTTGACGATGGCTGATGTCTCACGAGTGAAAGTCAGAGCCAAACTGGTGGTACTTAGCTGCTGTCACAGTGGAGGTGGAGAGATAAGAGCCGAGGGAGTTATAGGAATTGCCCGTGCGTTCTTAGGATCCGGTGCTCGCTCGGTGTTGGTTGCACTGCGGGCCATTCCAGACTCAGCAACAGAGCAGCTGATGAGTCGGTTCTACGAACACCTTGTTGAAGGAGAAAGTGCCAGTGAATCCCTTCATCAGGCCATGAAGTGGATGAGAAAAAAAAGCTTTACCAAAGTGCCTGAGTGGGCTTCGTTTACGCTGATTGGAGATGATGTGAGGCTCGAGTTTGACGAGCAGAGGTAAGACTCGGTGAGAACATGTATTTCATAAATTAAAGTTAAATTACGTGTGAAGGTGGCTACGACTTACTGGTCGCTGACTGTCAGCGGGGATCCTTTGTTACCTTCAACATCAAGGCTAGTCTAATGTTTTTCACTATTTTACAGGAAAAAGGACCCCGACAGAGTAAATAGTGAGGATTGCTCCAAGGAAACAGAGCAAAAGACTTTTAGATGCATAAATTGAATAGAAACAAGTAGAGAAAATACTCTATCCGGTATTTCAATGAAACTAAAAAAAGAGCTATCCCAAATTAAGGGATCGAGAGCTATTTCACTTTTTTTGTGCTTTCTGTTCCAATATTCTCAGAAGGATAAATTGGTTAAGTACTCAGAGTGGTTTTTTTTTAACGCAAAATTTATATTTCTGGTATAATAGGCAAGAAACAATGTTAACGTACGTAAGGCTTTTAAGTAAAGCGAAATCAGTGAAGTTAAAGCAGTAGTTTAGGTATAAAACGAACCATTAAAATTTGGTTTGATTTTTTTTCTAAGCCTTTTGTAAGGTTTAGTTATCACAACCTTCAATATCTGTGGAAAGATTTTGATGTAGCATCTTAAAGGATCCTTGGTAATTTGTTTTTGTTAACATACGTGCAACTGCGTAGAAATTCGTTCATATTAACTCAACGCCTGGCAGAAGTCGTGCCGGCCCGTAAACAGTTTTTACGTGGCGTAAAGAAAGGATTCGCAGAAGTAGAAGCGTTACGCATCCTAAAAACAAATCCGACGCGCTCCACATTTAATAAATAACGCACATTGCTTAAAAATACGACTAAAGAAGGGAAAGAGGATACCTGACGAAGTTCTGGAGAAATACATGTCTGGAGTTGTTTGCTACAGTAGAGAAGGGTCATTTAAAACAAAGAAAACAGTACACAGAAGGAAATGTTGTCTTTTGCATTTCAATATCACCCGGCTTTACCTAACCTCAAGAAAGTATTGATGGGGAAATGGCGCCTCATTTAAAAATTACATTGGGAAAAGATCATCAAAATGTATCCTGATCTAAACTAATCTATGACGACAGAAGTTTAAAATCGCTTGCAGATGCCAGGAATGTCACACAGGCTTGTCAATACTTTAATTTTTTAACTGGTCACTTGCTTCTTATGATATGCATCCTGCGTGAAGCTTGTCCACGCTTTGATGCAGAAAAATATCTGCAAATTGGCCATTAGTTAGATCTCTGATGCTAGGAATATCTTTCCTGTCATTCCACAGGTTGAAATTTTTAGTCTGCTCCGAGGCTCTAGGCTTTCTATGTGAAGGAACGCGAGATACCATCGATGGTTTTTTGTTTTGAAAATTCCTTGAATTTAAATGGCATAGAAAATGGCGGATTAAGCGCGCAATGTCCTGTGGTTGACTAGGACCCTTAACAGAAACCCTATCTATGGTCAGTTACTTGAGAGATCGAAAATAGTTTGGACTGGGACAATTGCATTCAAGGACTATTGTATCGAAAAAACAGACGCAATGTCACACTCAACGTTAAGTCTTTCTTAAGGGAAAGAATGTTTGCAACTGATTATCAGCTATGTAGCCATTCCAAACAAGCAAAAATAAAATTTATCTCGAGAAAACCCTTGAAAGTCTCCTATGTTTCTCTTAAAGAGGTTGCATTGTTAAACCAAAGAATCAAACTATCTGAGGGCTGTTACTCCAAGTGGGATTCAGTGCCTCCCGGGGTCCTACAGGGAACAAAACTAGGCCCATAGCTATTTCTTGTACTTTTAAATGATTCAGATGTTTATAATTTAACTAATGTATGGAAGTACGTTGACGATACGGCCGCATCTGAAGTCGTTGCAAGGGAAACCGAAGTTGTGCCGTGCATTTCTCCGGTTTGTTTACCTCGGCTCATCTATATCATCTTTTAAGGTGATTCCTTAGAAAAATAGGTTATCGAACCATTGTTTTCAAACTTTCCTTTGATGTTCTTTACCAATGTCTGTTTCGAGAAATACAATAAGAAAGATAGTCACCGTGTTTGTTTGCGAGATTTAATGGGCCAAACTTACCCAATTTATGCCTGTACTAATCACGCGCGTCATTCCATTGGTCACGGTCCATTTTTCTGCGGCTGGAAGCAAGGGTTTTTGAAAGTAACACTCCTGGCCCTCTAATGGCCAATGTCTTCACGTGTCATCTTGAAGAAGAGCTTACGCACGATGGCTTGATACCCCATCTGTACACGAGGTATGTCGACGATACCATGACCAGAATGCCTAGCGCTGCTACTGCTGTTGTGTTTCTTACTACTCTGAATAACCTACACTCCAGTCTAACTTTTACGATGGAGCTTCCCGTTGGTAATTAGATCTCTTTTGTCGGCATTGAAATCGTCAAGAACGGAACTAAACTTGAAACTCAATTTTACCGAAAACCAACAAACACTGGTTTGTTTTTACGCTTCCACAGTCACACCGATAAACGCTGTAAAGACTCTTTACACCGAGCCTATGCCCTATCGTCTACCACAGAAGCTTTTAATGCAGAATGTGTCAAATTGCGATCTATTTTCAGTCGCCTTGAAATGCTCCGGTAGGCACAACGGAAAGAAACACCGATGATAGTAGCACAGTAAGAATTAACCTTCCATTCGAAGATCAAGTGGCTGCTAAAGCATGCGGCTCGGAAACAGTTGCGCGATCTTAGCCATGAGATTCTCCCTACATTGCAGCTTGTTTTTGTGAGCAAGAAATCGGGGCAAATTCTTAAACCCAAAGAAATCGGAATTGCGTTGTTTATCGTTTCTCGTGTGATCTGTGCGATGCAGATTATGTCGGATACATAGCCCGACACCTTCATCAACGCATTGCTGAGCATAAATATTCGGCAATCGGTCGACATTTCGTGGAAGCTCACGGTAGAAACCACCTCCTGAAAGAAAACCAATTTGGAGTTTTAAGAAAGTACCAAGAAAAATTTGATTGTTTAGTCTTTGAAATGCTGTTCATCAAGAATCTGAAGCCTAATTTAAATATCCAGACGGACTCCATACTTGCCGTTCAGCCAACGTCGAAACGTCGTCGTTTTTTAGCAATCTTAAAATGTTTTTAAGAAATGTTTTATCGCAATTTTTTTTATAGTTAAATGTTTTTCTAAATCACTTCTACGTATACAGAAAAAAAAAGAACTAAGCTCTAACGAGTGAGGCTGGTTTCTAAGATGTAAAAGATCTATCAAGATTCTGGTTTCCGTAGAATAAGGCAAGAAGAGCTTTCTTAAAGTGTTGTTTTTAAAAATGAAGGGTCTTAATTGGTCCATTTTTCATTATAAGTCCCTTTGAACAGCATAAACGTCAAACGCCACTTTTACTCACACTGAAGCCAATAATTCCATAGGTCACGATCGGCCTTATTTACAAAGAGTGCGTTGGTTGTTTGACGTCACTTGCTAACCAGTTATGGCGACTTGGGGCAGAGATACTGCCACATGAAACCTTCCAAAATCCTTAGATGGCTGGCAAGGTGGCTGAAGTACCTCTACCATATGACCGTACCGCCTTGCGTGCGAAATCTCGTAGAAAACCGTAGTAAAAGCTGTGAAGGAACTCCGCTAATCGGAAAACAATTATGCTCACCATTAGATTGGAAAAAACATCATCTCTTTTCGCGTTTTCTAAACAAGTCCAAGCCTTCCAGAGCGTACTCGAATCAGAATCTTACAGTACGACTTCAGTAATCTCTAAGCCGGCAAAGATGTTTGCAATCGCCTTATGGTCACACTTAGAAGTCACATGAGGCGATTCATAAAAGGAAGAAACGAGTGAAACAACGCCAGATTTCGTAACGGTTTTATCACTGTTAATGCCCTTAAGGCCTGAACGATTTTTCTGGACTCTAATATTTCTTCGACATATTTCATTTACTAACATAATATATTTACATACATTTTAAAAACAAAATTGTTTCAAAACTACTGTTAGTCTTTTTTAATGTAATTATTAATAATCGTATCAATCAATTTTTGGTTGCAAAGCGGTTATCAATAACTATCTATCTATTTATCGAGTCATTGCATCATAATTCCTACGTCTTATTCCTTGGAAAGACCTCATGGCGGTGAACGCTGCGAGGGCGCATCTAGATATTACATCAATAAATTACTCGCTGTAAAAATCTGTTCCAAAATCTGCGGACGCATATCTGAGGTTTAAATCTAAGGGAATGTCTAAAATAGATTACTCATAGTCTTTACCTCTTGAATGTCGAAAATTGTAATGCTTGCGTTAACGCCTTGTCCATCGATGCCAAGCCTGTCTTTGTCGTGAGGACGTGTTATTTCAAGGAAATGTTTTGCCGCGTCGATGCCGTAACTCGATAGTCAGATCTAAAACGAACACTTGCGGCGGAATGTACACTGCAAACGAAATTGCTTTGTGCTCGGTGATGATAGTGTTTTGGGTCATGTCCTCCAAAGACTTAGAGTACAAAAGTTTGAACAATCTGATCATAATCATCAATATTCTTGCATTTAAAACAGCTTAACAAAATAAGCATAAAATAGAAAAAACTTAAAAAAATAGTGCTAGGATCACAAAATATTGCAAAAAAAGGAGTTGTGCTATTGGCTACACCACAAAAAATTTTCAAATAAATTAGGAGAAATAATAAAATATAATTTTAGTGATGAAACGATTAAAACAAAATCAAAGTTTACGAAAATGCCGTATTTTAAATCACTTAAAATGAATTCGTGCTGAGGTTAAGTTAATTACGTCACTTGTAAACATTGACTACTTCTTCCATTCCTGGAAAAAGGCAAAATAAAATTCCAGGACTTTTCAGGTTTTCCAGGACTCGTTCGAGGCCTGTGCAAATGGGTGGGAGTCACACTCATATCCAAGACTGAACACAGCTATGAAATCTACAATTTTAACGAATGTTAGTTGCATGCTGGCAAAGTTTACCTTACGGCGGAATTTTACAACGTCATCGACGGGAGAAGGAAGTTGGCTCATTCCTCAACGAAACTTCTAAATTTACGAAAATTGAAGAAGCACTGTTTTTCAATTGATTTCATTGTCGCCGAGCCTAACTTACGGTCCCTGAGGTTGTAAATGTTTGCAATTATAGTTATCTTACCACCGAAAAACACACTTGCGCTGGCGCGTGATTTGAAGCGATGCGTGCAAACAAGAAGTCGCGCAAAATTAAAAAAGTGTGCTCTTTCCTCGCC